AAAAAAAAAAGGTAGTAAATTTTTTTAAAACGCCAATAATAAGATAAACCACAAAAATAAGGTAACCCTAAAAACCGGTTTTTCGTTGCCATCGAGAAGATAGGACCTTCACTTCCTCTTACGGGTTCCTTATATCTACGGCACTAAGAGCTTGAGCATCTATTTGGAACCGTTTGCACTTTATGCTACGAATTCCTGTGTGCTGATTCGTTGATGTGAGTGATGAAGCATTCTCAGCAAATCCGGTAGCCTCACTTATGATTACAGTGGAAAAAATTGTTTTTGCATGCAACGAGAATGACCGCATTATAAAATTAACCCTTCTCAAACGTAGGCATGGATTAATTAGCATTAAGTGAAGTATAGAATGTCATTGGTAATTTATTCATAGACAAATATATTTCGCCTGTCAGTTTATAGTTTTATTACCCAAATTGGGTATAATATGAAAAAAACACAACTACTTCGATTTAGTAGGAACAACATATGACGCAATGCTAAACGAATGGAATTTAGTTGTTGTTTATTTAGTTATTGTTATTAGTAGTTGTTGTTATTTGTTTTAGTTGTTGTTGTTTATTTAGTTGTATTTAGTTTCAATAACTTTTCTTTATAATGCAATAAAATCTGGCGAGCAGCTATTTAAACGATCGAACACTTCGTTTGTTTATTTGTGGCTTGAAGTTAGGCTCGCAGAAAATGCCGTTCATGGGTTAAATTTAGTAGGAACAACACAACCTGTGACGTAGGCTATATTATACCCAATTCATTTAACGAGATTATATTTTGGCATTAGTTAGGTTGGGCAAAAATACGTTACCTAAGACGGTTGAATTGTAAACATTCTCACATTTTAACTGAAAGCTTTATTCTATTCTAAACTTTTTGTAGAAAGTAGTAAAGATATCCTCCCCTTGTTAAAAATTTAGTTCAAATAAAATTGTTAGCTAATGAATGTGCCATTTCATTTTGGGTAATTACTATCGCTCTCAATGGATTTAAATTGGGTTATTAATTATATTTAGTGAAACATTGTTCCTAATTAACTTAGTTACTTTTAATTTTGAAAAGTTCTTGTTGATAAAGACTAAAAAAACCTTTGACATAGTAGATACAGATTTCTGTTCTACGGAATCTCTTAAAACAAATTCTCATAAAGAAAGTTCTGGTAATGGACTTGTGTTAAATAAACGATTGTGATTTCATTTGCTGAAAATTGTTAACTAAGAAGTTCAGATGATGATTTTTATTCATGAAGAATGATAGATTGATTCTGAATCGAATTCCATACAAATTATCAGAAATGAATGACTCTGAGTTTGGTTTAATCTATTCGAATTCAACAAAAACAGATGTTACTAATTCCTCAGTTATTGTTCCCTCACAAGATGTTGCAGAAAGTAGTTCGTATGATGATCTTGCTTTATCAGAAATGAATGATTCTGATTTAAATTCTATGCAAAATGAAGTTGTGACTCCTTCTGAGAACAATCATTCACAAATTCTGGCAAATGGTTGTTCTGATAATGATCTTGATTTCTCAAGAAAGAATGATTCTGATATCAGTTTAAACTATTTGAATGTAACAAAAACAAATGTTACTAATTCCTCAGTTATTGTTCCCTCACAAGATGCTGTAAAAAGGAGTTCAAATGATGATCTTGATTTATCAGTAATGATAGACTCTGATTCAAATTCCATGCAAAATGAAGTTGTGACTCCTTCTGAGAACAATCAATCTGAGACTCCATTTAATGATTGTTCTGATGATGATCTTGATTTATCAGAAATGAATGACTACGATTTTGAAGATGTGAATAATGAAACTACTGATGGAAATGAACTTGTAAATGAAGCACCTGTTGAACAACCAAATACTTCTGATTCCATTGTTCCAGTGGCTAAAAAAAAAGGGAAAAGGATACCTGCTTTTAAAAGGAACATGGTGAATCCTGCTGATTTCAATTTTACAGATATGAGGATACTTGAGGCAGGAAACAATGAGTGTCTGGTTTGTAAAAAGACTTTTAGACTCAGAAATAAACTTCTAGCTCATTTTACGGTTCATCCTCCTGAAAATCCTTTTTTATTTGATTTATCTAAAAAATCTGAATTTTTTGATGTTGAGATAAAGCCTCCTGATCCTAACGAGATTGAAAAGAAGCCATTTGCTTGTGTTCTTTGCCCTAAGCGTTTTATAAACTATGGTCAACTTGAGGCTCACTGTAATGTACATACTGGAGAGAAACCATATGTCTGCAATATTTGCTCCAAAGCATATAGAGATAAAGTCTATCTTAAGGGACATGCAATGTTGCATTCAGGAAAAGCGCCATTTCAATGCCTTGTGTGTAACAAAAGCTTTTCTAGGCAGCAGAGTCTTGATACTCATTTTTTGATTCATACAGGTGAAAGACCTCATGTTTGTGACATATGCCATTTAACTTTTCGGAAGAAAAATCTAATGGTGATTCATTATCGACTTCATACAAATGAGTTTCCATATTCATGCAAGGAATGTGGACGTCGATTTCGAAGCAAGCGTTATCTTGTTAATCATTCTGCAACACATGAAGAAATGCGTTATGCTTGTGACCTTTGTCCCAAGAAATTTAATCAAAAGATGTGGCTTCTAAAACATAAGGAGTTGCATGAAGGCAAGAAACGTTATGAATGTCAGTTATGCTTTAAAGCTTTCAAAAGAAAAGCAGATCTAGAATTGCATGTGTCTCTTCATTCTGGTCAACGACCATTTGTTTGTGAAGTTTGCCGAAAAGGATTCAATAGGGAAATTTATTTAAAGAAACATCTTCAGACTCATAGTGCGGAAGAGCTAGCTGAATTTAATGTGTGTAAGTCAGATAATACATTAAAAAAACCAGCACCTTCTGGTAATCAAAAGCCATTTGCCTGTGAAATTTGTCAAAAAGGTTTTAATAGAGAACCCTATTTGAAGAAACATTTTCAGACTCATAGTGCAGACGAGCTAGCTCAATTTAATTTGTATAAGTTAGATCCTACGTCAAGAAAACCACCACCTTCTGATAGACAAAAACCATTTATCTGTGAAATTTGTCAAAAAGGTTTTAATAGAGAACCCTATTTGAAGAAACATTTTCAGACTCATAGTGCAGACGAGCTAGCTCAATTTAATTTGTATAAGTTAGATCCTACGTCAAGAAAACCACCACCTTCTGATAAACAAAAACCATTTCTCTGTGAAATTTGTCAAAAAGGTTTTAATAGAGAACCCTACTTGAAGAAACATTTTCAGACTCATAGTGCAGAAGAGCAAGCTCAATTTAATGTTTGTAAATCAGATCATATGTTAAGTAAGCCAATGTCCTCTAATAATCAAAAGCCATTTGTGTGTGAAATTTGTCAAAAATGTTTCAATAGAGAAATCTATTTAAAGAAACATCTTCAGACTCATAGTGCAGAAGAAATTTCTCAGTTTAATGCTCATAAATCAGATCCTATGTTCAGTGAACCAACATCTTCTGATAATCATGGTTCTTCCATTTTAGAATCACTGTCAGCAAATTAGTTTTTCATTTGAATATGTTTTGAAATACATTTGTGATACTTACCATATTTGTGACAGTTACGGTAAGATATTTGATCAAATATGATGGTATGAAAGTAAGATTTGATCTGGATTAGAAAAAAGAAGAAATTTTATACAACTCTAACTATTGATAGTTGGTAATATAATTGGTGTAAAGTTTGAAGGGGCAGCGTGTCCCTTATCAGGTTGTTTGATGCAAATTAATTAGATGTCTGAAATCTTAAAATATTATCCTAGTTAATTTGATGAAAAAAACATTGGTATTTGACTTGATTTGATCAAAGGTTTTAAGAACATTGAGTTTTTAATTATACTTATAATATTAGTTTCTTAGATAATTGAGTTTCCTTATCTCTATAAATAATAATTGAAGATTTGTTGAAGTACTTTTATTTTTTCTAATTTATAATATAAATGAACATTGTTAGTGGGAAATTTGTAACAGTGTAGGAAATTGTTTAAGTATTACTCTTTTTTTAAAAAAAAGACCAAAATTCTCTTACCTTAACCTGCATGTCAATATAGCAAAGATTCATAATTTTTTTTCTTCTCTACTTTGCGCAGACTTTTAACACAATTACATCATTGCATTTAACGTTCAAGAATGCTGCTATCAGGGATAAATTTGTTTTTAAGTTATTATTTTTTCTAAATTTAATAAAAAATAGATCTGCCTTTTCAAAGAAAGTTAGTTTTTAAAAAAAATTTTTTTATGCTTTTTTTTCTACCAATGCAGACGCATTTTAAAATTATTTATTTGAAATCACACATTGTGATCCTTATTTACACAATTTAAGATGGCACAACACTATTCATATTTACATGGTTTAATATCACACATCACGATTCTTGTTTTTGCAATTTAAGACGGCATTTCGTGTTTAGTATGTTCATGATTTCATATGAAATACAACAATGCATATGCATGTGATTTAAAAGACACTATTGTGATTCATGTCTTGTAACTAAAAATTTTACAATGGAACTTATTTTCATATGATTTAAAAAACAAAAATCTTTTAACATCATTAAAAAAATAATACCTTGCATCAATATTTTTTCTTAAGACATTTATAACATTCTATGTACAAATGCTTTAGATATAAATTTTTTCTTGCTCAAATTTCAGACATTTTTTTGATTATTTAATGTTTTTACAAGTAACATTTTCGGTTTTGTTTTTTACCAAAGTTATTCATGTTATATGAATCAATATAAAGTTTTATAAAAATTAAAGCATTAAAAAAAAAAAAAATTCAGTGATTTTCAAACAAATGTCGCAAAGAGTTGAAACCAGAGTTAATTAATTGATTGCAGAAAGTATTTTGGTTATGGGGCAGGGCTCGAAAAAACTCAGAAATTTTTTACGTCCCCGAGGATGGCTAGTCCAACAAAGTACCCGTCCTCCTTTGAAACTAACCCGTAGCTTCTAAATAAATAAAAATATAATTTTCTCTCATTTATTACAAACATTTATATAAATTGCACAATGAATTAGTAGTTACTAGGATTACATTATACAGTAATAAAAGAAATACTACGCTACTAATAGTAACCTAGTATTTCTTTTATGAAATAATTTAAATGACAAAGGTCAAGTTATCTGGAATGTCAATATATCCGAGGGTACTGCGCTTTTTAAATGAATCAAATATGACGTTTGCCAGTTCCACAATCAAGCCAATGATCTAGAGAGGTTTCTGCACAGAAATCTGAAAAGGGTTTTCCGTTTAGGTAGATGTTCATAATTGCGTTTAACGCTTCTTGTTTAAGACCAGTACGTAATGTTTTTATTTTTTTTGTAAGTTCATTGCTGAAAAGTCCTTTTCAACCGCTGCAGTACGGGAGACAGATAAAACATCAAATCCACCATGCATAGTATGTTGCTGTATTTCTAGATTAGAGGGTCATTTTAGAAGTGAGGAGCTAGACTCTTGTAAGATAATAAAAATTGAAAATGTATCACGAACATTAACAGGAAAATGGACGCCGGATTCGAGAAATTCGTTGTCCGCGGGGAATTTTTGACCGCCGAGGACGGGTGGTTTTTTGAGCCCTGTTACGGGGCACCTACCAAACTACCTTTGGGGCTACTTTGGCCCTTACTCTGTCACTATGTATGGTTCAGTATATAGGTTCCAGTAAGAATAACACATGAATAATTAAATAAGCACTTTAATTTGATCAAATTATGGAAAGTCAGAATCAATTAATATTTTCTGTAAGTTATTTTTTGAACTAGAGAGTAACAACAATGAGAGGTCCAAAAAAAAGCCCAATCCATTTTTACAGTAGAAATATGCAAAATTTGATAAGTTTAAGTTAATATCTTTAGACAAGGGTGCTGTTGCAAAGTTTAATTTTTTTTTCATGGTGTTATAATGAAACAGTTGCAGGCCTCAAAGGTGAACTTAATTTCCTTAAAAAAGAAAGAAAGAAAGTGCATCTGCCTAGTCTCCTGTTTTTTAACGAAGACTAATGTATTTCACAACTATCTCTTGTTTACCTGTATGTTTTCACATTTCTCTAATTATTGAAGAAATTTTTTTTTTAAAAAAAAGGTGATAAAATATCTACTGATATGAAAAATACTTCTCTTATTCCTCAACAGATGAAACTATTGCCAGTGTCGCAGTATGTTGAGCATTAATTGTGTAAAACGAGCCGGGGATAGATCATTCCAGGGTTGGCAGGTTTTTGACATGTGACAGTTTTTGACAGTTTAAACCATGGTTTAAACCGTCACGTCAAAAACCTCACTGTCAAAAATGTCGAAAATGTCAAAAACCTATATTCATATGTGAAATTTAATTAATACATAAAATTTATATATTTTTTATAAAGGATAGTGTTTCTAAATATGTTCTAGAAAAAATAAATTTAAAATTTTGAAGAAACACTTATATTTTGAATAGTAACCAAAATCTTGTACTTTTGAAAACTCACATCTTTTGTAATATTATGTATTCATTTTCATGTGTTATTGAAAATCTGCAGTGATATTATTAAGAAATTTATTTATAACCAAATTTAGTGTATAGTATAGATTATACTAAAAATTAGACATTTTTAAAGATAAACATTAGCAGTTTTGTACATTAGACATCTTCTTTTAAAGAAAAATCTTTTTAATATTCTTTTAAATCTTCTTAATAATCTTTTTAACATAAGACAATACAAATTTAAGTGCTTTCTGTTAAATACACAGAGTAGTTAGTGTCGATTTACAGTATATTCAGCCTATTCATTTACTATGCTGAAAATTTAGTTTATCCAAATACTTGTGAATTTCATTTTGCTGAATACTATATAGTTTTGTTGAATATCTAAATATTCAGCTGTTGAATAATTACTTCTTGCTTTCAAGATATGCATTATTTGTATTCTTAATACAAGTGGAGAAAAAAAAATTAAGAGATAAAAATTGTTTTAAAATGATAAGTGTAATAATTATAAATAAATATAATAAACAATATGAATTATATTTATCATTATTCATAAATATAACTACTTTTAAATTCAAATTAACATACTGGATAATAAAGATATTCGGTATAACATTAAAATTTTTTTTCATACACTTGTATCAAGTTTGTATTTATACAACATAACTTGTAAGTTCCTTATAAATATTAGTTATATGTTCCTTATATGTCAAAAATGCATAGTAATAAACTTTTAATTTTCTTAAGTATCAAAAAAAAAATTTTTTTTTTAAATATAAATATTTAAACAATTTTTGTGCAAAATTTTTCTGCACATGCATTTGAATATAAATTTCTGAGATTTTAAATCTGTTATTTTACCTTAATTTTAATTAAAAAATATTTTAAAACCTGCTGATTACCTATAGTATAATTAAATTTCAATATAATGCATGGCAACTGTTGGTAGTTTTGAAGTTTATATATTTTCTTGGCAAACTTCAGTTTTTGACATTTTTGACGGGTTTTTGACGGTTTAAACCAGTATTATACCCTTGTCATGTCAAAAACCACTTTTTGACGTCAAAAACCCAACCCTGGATCATTCGTCTTCCAATTAGGTGAACCCTAGTTCAAATCCCAGGAATGACTGGTCAATACGAATTCCGCATCTGGCTTGAACCGAACACAGTGCTGACGTGATATATCCTCAGCAGTAGATGGATCACGAGTTAGAGTCCTCTTGTCGTCAGGAGATTTTCGTGTAACTCAAGTGCGGGCTAGTTCCATAAAAAAGTCCTCCACAAAGCAAATTTCTCCCAGTACTTGATCCAGGAGTTCCGTTATCTTCTGGATTGGGTTCATAATTGCAAGGCTACGGAGTTGAACACCAGTAGTCGTAAACTCAAAATTGGGTTGATAAGTAAAATCTTCCTTATTTTATTTCACCAATATTGGAAAGTATGAAAGTGTCCTTAATTGTTAAACATTTTAATAAATGTCCTGAAATTTTTGTGGTTTTCAAAATTTTTGTCGAAGTTAACAGGAAGAATAAATATTTATCTAAAAAAGAATTGAAGAAATTTACAAATTCAAAAATTATGTTATATGCCATGAAACAAAGTATGTAACAAAATCAGCAACAAAGTCTTCTTAGCACGTCAAGTACGGTATTTATCTACTTCCAGTGTTTAGACAATTACCCATAATTTGATGATATAAAAGCATTTGATATGGGAGAAATATATGAGAAGCAACTATCTCTCTTCTCCACCCACCTATCACTATATCATACTCTACTGTTTTTTAAGAGGGAAACCTTGTATTTTGCTACTATTTATTGATTTTCCATATTTAGATGATTCCGCCCTTTTTTTATTAAAAAGGCAAAAAAAATTTTTTTCAATAACATATTTAATTTGATTGAAAAACGTTATTACATGATCAGGATTTGAATTTATGCCTTTATCTGAATTGATGAGGGTTTTTGAGAATGTGGATTCTTGGTGGGTATGTCATGCCAATCAAGCCTGATTCAGCAGAAACTAGAGATTATGTATTCTGGTAAATAACTGCACCTTGTACTCAACTTAAAAAGTGTAAAAAAAGAGAAAAATTATAGTGTATGAGAAAAAAATTACTACAAACGAAATATAAATTTACCGTAAATAAAAATTTATAATGTGGGGATATTTCCAAAGGAGTAGATGTTTAAACTGTATAATACTAATATGAATTGTCCTATTGTAATAATTGTAATTTTTAAGTTTGTACCTCCATTTTTTTATTTTTTTAACTGCCCTGGGTATTTTATTTATAATTTTGTTAACTAAAAATTCCTTTCAAGATATTGTGAATGGGAGACATGTCAAGTGTAGCTATATTCATATGCATAGCTAATATGCATTTTATCAACTAATTTTAGTTTTTATCTTTATTGTTGAAATTTATAAGAAAAATGATCTGACTTGTTTTATAAGTATGTTATATAAGTTTTCACTTATCTTATATTTATTAAATACTTTGTCTTATATTTATTAAACATTTAATCTTATATTTATTAAACATTTATACAGCTCACAAATTAAAACATTTTAAGGAATTTTAAATTTCCTGAAATTTATGGGAAGAAATTATTACACATAAAAATTCATTATTAAAGATTGTTCTTAATATTTGCTAATATTGAATTTAGGAACAGTCATATTATGGAATTATTATGTTACTACCTGTACAATATTGTACATATTATTAGAATTAAACTGTTATATTTTTATGAATAAAATTATGTATCAAATTAGATGGAGGTTCATTTTTTTCGTTATTGTATTTCTGATGGTTTAATGAATAGTTTATATTTTCTCATTAATTATTCTTTTTTAAAACAAAACAATAAGGCTATTTTTTAATGAAAGACTTCAAAATTGCTATTCATATATTGAAATTCAGTATCAGCATGTAATGATAATGAATGTTGAATAAAACTTTTTTGTTAATATTTCACACTTAGAATCCTAGCATTTTGGCACATTTAATGGGTATCAAATTTAATCTGCAGAAATAATGATGAAAGAATTAATATGTGTAACTGAGACATGGTATTTAACATTTATTTTAGACATTAATTAAAACCATTGTGTGAGTACTGATTTTCTCTGAAAAATATAAATTTTTTAATATTTTAGTCTTCTACACACACAAATATGTATATCGACGATAAATTATTGTTTTTTTTGCTGGAAGAAGGGTAAAAATTTTTTGCTATCTTTAGCTTTTCGAAACATTAGCATCATTCAAACTATCACCTGCAGTTCAACAAATACTATTATGTATTTCGCTTTTTGTATCAAATAGAAAAATAATGTGAAATTCTGACATCTTATTTTAGATTTTAAAAAAATATAAAATAACAGGCTAAGCTTAGAATTATAGTGTATTATATTTTAATTGTGTATCTGATTTCTCGTGTCTATTAGTTTGTTATACATTTATACCAACATTTTATTCTTCGCTTCATGATTTTTATTCAATTATCATTGAAACATCTAAAATAAGTTTCTGTTAGCATAATTTACTAGTGAGGGGAGAAGGATGTCAGCAATACTGCCTAATTTATTAAATTCTTCTTTCCAAATATTTATAAAGGGTTTATAATCACTATAATGTGCTTAATTATTAGATGTTATCTCATAATGTTTAAACTGTGCCTTGGTAAAAATAAATGCCTGTATATATTTCTCTTTAATTGTAACTGGCATAAATCTATTAACCATGAGTGTTTCTGCTAGACTTTGAAAACTATAATTTATAATAACTTAATTATAATAACAAAAACTATAATTTATATTTTGTATTCTTAGTACAATTTGTGGTGTATTTGATGTGATATAATATGTAAGTGGAATTAATGGCTCATTTAAACTTTTTAATAATAAATATCCATAATTTTCAAAATATGAATGGTTTTCTCAATAATTAAGTTATAATTGGGTCAATGAGGAAATATTATAACTCTTTACTGAAGTTGTTTATTTTGCAACTCCTTCCTACTTTTTAGAACCAAACTTTTATTTAAATCTCCAGAACCAAATTTTTATTTAAATCTTTTTTTTCCTTCCAAATTTATAAGATATTTAAAAATAAATATGAATCCTAAAAAGTTTTAAGATTTTTTAAATTTATTTTTCTTTTAATGAAACTTAAACCTAATCACGAAATTGCCCTTCTGAAATCATTAACTAAAAATATTTGGTTAATCAATGTAAAATCTGCTTAATATTATGCAGAAGAGAGTCTTGATTGATCCAAGTAATAGTTACTAAACTAATTATACTCACATGAAGTTTTTGGAGGATCTAAGTACATCCTTATAGTCGTTCCCTTACTATACATTACATTGATAAAAACTACCATAGATATTTAGCAAAATTTTACAAAGGAGTAAAATTAAAAGAAAATTAGATTATATTCAGCTCCAGGCTTCAATTTTGGAATTTATGAATAACTATTTGAAAAAAAAAAAGAAGTAAAATTCGAATTTTTTATTTCCAATGGCGGGGAAAGCAATCAAATACAACAAAGAAGAACAATAAACGTAAGAAGGAATCTCAAGAAGTAAAAGAAAGACCCAAGCCATTTCCCCAGAAGCTCTCTTGCACGCCAATATTAAGCAGTCTTGAGAGTCCAGTCCTGTGTAATGAGCTACAGTGATGGAGATGTTTTTGGTTCACAGATTCTTTAGAATCACACAGTCGACAGTCGGGATGGTCTTATGCGTAACCGATACAAATGTTCTCCCGGGTAGTTATGACCTGTTAGGAGACGAAAGAGGGCTGCAGCATAGTCATAAGGTCGCATGCCGAAGGTTGTAGACCACTGTGCCGCTTAAAGCGTTGCCCAGGGTACACCACCATTTAAAGTTAAAAAACAAAATATAACTGCAGATAAAATTATCACAAAGTGACAAGAAAAAACAATAGAATCAATCCTTACAGTCGTTTCTGTACTATACGTGACATTGATCAAAACCAACCATTGATATTAAGCTAAACTTTTTAAAGGAATAAGTAGTTTAATAAAAGGATTATATTCAGTTACAGGTTTGAATTTGGCGAGATAAAGGACAATAGCACTTATTCTTGTCCTTGTTAGATTTTATTTGAATCATTGATGTGTCATTCATGAATTTGCTTTTCATAAATTTTAATTTAATTAACAATTCTTTTTTTTTTAGTTTACAATATTAATTAAATGATATTTTGTTGAATATAATAAATGTTCGCATTGTTTCATTTTATACTTCAAATTATATATTTTTCTATTTTTTTAAATAATAAAATGAAACAATGTATTGTGTTTTAGGCAGATATATTGGCAAAGATGCAGATATTGCAGATAATTTTTAATACAAATATAACTGAGTAGTTTTCAAAATTTCTATACATTAGCATAAAAAATATAAGTATGCTAACAACTGCTCTTTCCATTCTATTTCGAGTAAGCTAAGCGCGTCAAGTATCAATTCGCTTAAGTGACACATTCTATGTTCTTTCGCAAAGATTCTTTCAAAGGGATTAAAATGATGTACACCTTACATTTAAAAAAAAATTCCATTATTATTTAATAAAATAATCAAAAATAATAACTATTTACTAAAATTTGTTTTTTGCAGGAAATTTTCTTTTGATAAACGAATTTTATAACTCTATGCAAAATTTTTTTAATTCGCTTTGAAAGTTCATTAGATAAGGCGAAATACACACTGCTATTTTGAACAACCTATTGGGACCATATTTCCCAGATTGAGGCTACCCTCTTTATTTGGAGTTAAATCAATAACAATTAAGATATGAGGTAAGCTGAAAGAAATATTTATAAGCATATAGTTACTTTGAAACTATTAACAATTATCTGAATATTGGCCAAAATGAAAAGAAACACTTTAACTATTTTTATTTCTGCTTGTTATAATTTTGTCGTGATTTTCATTCTTTATCTTATTGTTTGTGAGGATGAGCAATATGACATATTTAATCGATACTCACCTTCAACCTTGCATTAAATGATCAATTGTTTGTAAGTTGAAACAAGATACTTACCTATGTATTGTTACGTGCCAGAGAGAAATTGTCTTGCATTAGCAACTGATCTAATTACGCTTAATAGTATGTCTTTATTCCATTTCTTTTTTTCAATTATATGAAAAAATATCTTTATTTTTGTTTTGTTGATTATGCTTTTACTAATAATTTTTTATTAACATTATTTTAGGTTTATACATTTTAAACCGTCTGTTAAGCTGAATGTCATAACTACCTAACCAAACGATTCCAATTTCCACCTAATCAATTTAGATTGAATTGGTAAGTTATTTATAATTTTTCTAAGTTATTTATTAGTAACCTTATTGGGGAATTATGCAATGGTTTGCAAGCTACAGTTTTGTTTTCCACTCTACAATTTCAAATAATATTGATATGTTTAAAGTTTTTTAAATAGTGTTTTTTTAAAAAGTTAGCTCTCTCTGATTTTTAGTTGATTAGTACTAATTACTGTAAAATAGTTATTTGTATCACCAGACTCATATTCATCAAATTTCAAAACATAATGTAAATTATATATTTTTTATTTATAATAATAACATTTATTGGATATTTTTTTTTAGAATGAGACTGGTGAAATGATCTTGTAATAATAAAAATTTGTTGTACAAACTCTACAAATTTCAAAACTTGCAAAGAAAAATACTTAACAATAGAATTTGATATTTGAAGAATAAATAAAAGAAAAGGAATCATTATTTACTACATTTTTTGTTGTTGTCATCATTGCTGTTTGTTAGACACTCATATTCATTATGTGAAATCAAAGTCAAACTAATGTTAACAAAGTACTTATTTGATTTCCTGTTTTTTCAATAAAAGTATTAGCTTGTAACAAACTTTGCCAATAGTCCCGTCCTTAAGAGGACACTAAACGGAGGGCCAAAATTTTTAAAGCAAATTCTGTTGTACTTACATTTGTAAATTGAATTTCAAATTATGGAAAAACAAATTGAGTTCACATAAACCATGAACCTCCGAATACTGAAAAATGTTTTTCAAAATAAATAGCAAATTATGGTACTTACTTCCCTACTGTGTAATCCTACCATAATTTATTCCGAAATGTTCAGCATTTAAAACTTATTGGTTTACCTAAATTTACTTTTTTTCCATAGTTTAAAATTTTTAACTAACAAATGGATGTGAAACAATATGTCATGAAAACTTTCTCTACAGTATAGCTTCCTCTAAATTATGGAAAATCCTTTCTTTTTATTTCTTCTTTTTTCTCACAATCAGTGTTTACTTGTAAATCTTTTTTCTATAATTTAAAATTTTTAGCTGAAAAATGGATGTAAAATATAACTTGACATGAAAGCTTTCTCACACAATTAAGCATCCTCTTAATGGTGGGAAATCCTTTCTTTCTTTTTTTTTCTTGCAATGTGTGTTAACTTGTTAGTCTTTTTTTTTTGTTCTTGTAATATTTAATGCATTTTATAATGTGTCAAATGAGAGAATGGATAATTTTATATATATTCACGCATTCATTTTAAAAGTTTTCCAACAAGTTTTTTTCCCCTTCTCTTAAACTCATGCAGTAATAAATTTTATGAATCAGTAATTTTACCAACCAGTTTTGTCAAAATTATATATATATATATATATATATATATATAATAAAACTTATTAATTATTTTCGTTTTTCTCTTTGTTTTTTTGTGCTATATNTAATGTAAGTTTACAGTTACATATTGTCATAATTTATAACCGTACAGTTTCAAGTTTTGAGATACTAGAAATTCGGTATATATATATATATATATAATTTTTTTTCTGAAGGTGTTAAAAATAGAACCAATAGAAATATAGGAATAGTTTTACTTTTCTTAGAAGCATTTAATGAATAAAAGGTTTCCAGTAATAATAGTCCAGTTGTGTAACTGAAACGTCTCTGTTGAATCTTTTTTTATAAATAAAGATATTGAAATTTAAATTCTCAAAGCATATATATATATATATTGAGAACCTTTATGTTTTTCCAGCAATTTTTTATTATTTTTCTAATTATATTATGTTTCTATATATACACATATATTCACTACCCTACAATAATGGAAGGGACATGTTCAATTTTTGACATTTTTTAAAATTTCTCAATAATATTTAGATGATTATTATTTTATAACTTTAGAGAAGTTTAGTTCATGCAACTTTTCATACTTAGCAATAGAGTTTAAATATTTCAAAGATTTGAGAGACTGATAGTAGATTACTAAAAAAAACAAGTATTTTAAAACACCCTATGCCACATAATCAAGCCATAAGTTTGTAACTTGTATCATTTACTTTTATTGTTATTTGCAATAGCAGTGCAAAATTTCATAAACTTAGCTTAAATATTTATGCAGATATGCACATTTTTGTAAGAAATTAATTTCATTGTTTTAAGTTATTTTGATATAACTTTACAGTTATTTAATAAAAATTAGACTAAATTTTTGAAGCAATTTAAAATTATTTACAAAATTATAGCTTTAAAGTTTGAAACAAATTCTTTAAAAAAAAATTTTTTTTTGATAATTTTTGTACGGAATCATTTTTGGCAACTAATGAAGCAACTACTAAAAAAAATTTTTTTATAATTTTGTAGGGAATCATTTTTGGCAACTAATGAAGCAACTACTAAGCACAAAAGGATTAGGGATTTGTACAAATTTCTTTTCATAGTCTCGAATGTTATTGCCGGTGTCTTTTTTAATAAATCTTGTTTCATAATGCGAAATTAAATTTATGGAAAACCCTTTTTCATTTTGAACTTTCTTTTAAAAAGTACCAAAACTTCTTAGAATATTCCTAGAAACTTTTTTAAATTTTTAAGACATTTAAATCAGACTTTTTCTTTAATTGCCAAATACAATTACTACAAAATTCTGAAGAAAAAATTAAAAAAAAATTTCTCACCCATGCGCAATATAAAAGAACCACTTTTGATATCTTAACCCCCTTACGGGGTTAAGCTTTGATCTTAATTGACGGGGGCTGAATGGGGTTAAGCTTTGATCTTAACCACATATTTTAAGCAGTTATTATTAAATTTTTTTTGAAATTTTAAATGAATAATTTTGTAAATAATTTTGAAGTTATAGCAGAAAACATGGAACAAAGAAATCAGTTTTTTTTATAAAATGCCCATATCTCAATAAATAAAATTACGAAATTTTATGCTATTGTTCCAAATAACAACTAAAATAATCAATACAAGTTATAAGCTTATTAATTTATTTTTCGTCGTAGGGTGTTAAGAAATATATATATATTTTTTCATAATTTATTGTCGGAAAAAGCTCTGAAAGCTTTATACTATAGCTAAGTATGAAAAATAGCATGAACTAAACACCTCTAAAGTTAGAAAATATTCCTTTAAGTATTTCTTGAGAAATTTGAAAAACTGTAAATGTGTCATCCATTATTGTAGGGTAGTCTCTATATGTGTATGTATTGTGTGTATAGAATAAACAAATCAATCAAATAAATTTTCTTATAAAATGAAGATTTATTCAAATTATTTACAATTTACAAGAGATGTAATTTTAGCATCTTATTAATACAATATATTTAAAGTTTTGCATATTATCTGAGTCACCTGCAAAGAACCTATGGTTTTGTGAACAAGACAAGCATAAATATTTTACTTTTTTTAAAGAAGAAAAAAAAAAACGCAGATGATCCTTATAATACACAATTACATAAAAACTTATTTAAACATAATACTTTTACATATATACAGCCACATAACTAAGGCCTTCTGATTTGTACACATTTGTCAAATCTTATATTGCTTTTCCCAGTTAAAACTGATTATCTTTTGCAATAATTGTATTTTTGTTAAAAATAGGTTTGTTTATACAAACAAATAGTTTTAAATGTGCTATGATAATTTTTCATGAAATTTCAAATGCCTAAAACAGATATCTTTCATCTGTTGTTTAAATTATCTTTATAAAGGAAAAACTTTATGAAATTTCTAACAGTTTCCCTCAGTATATTTTTATACATTTATGTGTAGTGCTGATGAAATATTTTAAAAATATCGTAAAATTTTTCTCTGTTATAAAAAAAAAATTATTTTGATCACGGATGGGAATTTAATTTATAGATCCAGTTTTGATTGATATATTTTGTTGAATTTAAATTATTTAATTTGTTTATTGCTTCATTTGTTTAACTTAAAACATTCAGCACATGCAGCTCTTTCAGGGCTTCAAGTGCTGCGCACATTGCACATTTTGCGCCAAATCGGTATATTTGCGCATTACTGCGCAGAAACGTCATTTTATGTTAAATTTGCGCCGAATCTGCGCCAAAAAATTTTCGGGGACCAACTAAACATTGCCAAATTTTAATAGCATAAGATATTTTTGTTTCTCTTGTTGATTTCATCGTTATTGAAGTGCCATCAACTTCGTCAATGGCAAGCTAATGGCCTTCTTGCGCTATTCTTTTTATAGATTAGTACCATGATCTTTGAATTAACTAGGGGACCATCCACTAAGTACATATTTTCATGTTGATCCTCAGAACAGTCAAGAATCACAAAGCTTCATAACTTCAAACTTTCCATCTCCCTTTTATTCATTTCATCTAATAAAGATAAGAATTAATTAAGTTTCATAACGTAATTTTTTTTCTGAGGGACCATCCACTAAGTGCATATTGTTTTTAAACAATTATTTTACTTTATTACTTTTTTTTACTAATACTTTTTTTTACTTTATTTGCATTTAAAAATTATTGTATTTTTTTTAATCATTTCATTAATGAAATACTTTATAAGTAACCAATTTTAATAAAAAATTATTAGGGGCCATTCACTAATTTACATTTGTATTATAAATTTATTAAGTTTTCTTAATTTGCTTAATTCTTTACATATTTTTATAAATTTGGTATGATCAATATTATTCTTGTTAATGTTTTGTTGAATATACTATTACAAATAACATTTATTTAAATTTTTAAAAAATTACACTCAATGACCTTAAATAATAGTTATATTAATTACAGTTTTGAATTACCTTTTACAGAAATAAATAAAGTAATTATTAATTTAAAAAATAGTATGAGCCATTCAGTATTGAATTTATTTAAATTTCTTTTGCCAAAAGCTCTTTTTTTTTAAAAGAAATATTTCGGCAATTAGGTCTTTTAAAAACTGAAACACCATTGATTCACTTGCTGTATGATGAAATGGTGTTCCTAGTTAAAGCATTGTTGGGGCGTTTTTTTAAAGAGTTTTGATTTTCATGTTTGTCAGG